GGCCTTCGCCGCTCCAGGCGTTGATGAAGACGAGGCAGGTTGATACGGCGGAGGCGTAGCCGGCGAAGGTGGGCGCTGCTGAGGTTCCCATTGTGCCGGTTACGGCGGTGTAGGGGATGATGGGGAGCTCGTCGTCCATCGCCCACATGAGTTGGGTGCCGTCTTCGAGGGCTTTGGAGAGGAGGGCGTCGTAGGGGGTGATTTGGTACGAGGGGCTGCTGATGCCGGAGCCGCCGGAGAAGATGAGGTGGCCTGGCCAGGTGGTGTGGGTGTGCACGTCGTCCATTGTTGTGCCGGGGCCGATGAGCGTGGGACGGGCGTGGGAGCCGAAGATGCCGATGGAGGGTGGTTTGTGGAGGGGGAGGGTGTTGTTGGTGTTTTTTAGGAGGGCGATGGCTGCGCTGCCGGCTTTGCGGACGAGGGCGCGGTGGTTGGCGCGGACGTCGACGGGGGCTGTGGCCGCGGGATTGGGGGGAATAGTTTTGGTGTTGAGGCCGAGCTGGAAGTAGGGCATGAGGTTGCGGATGGCCATGTCGTCGAGGCGGGCTTGGGAGAGGGAGCCGTTGGCGAGGGCTGGGAGGAGGGTCTGGGGGTTCCAGAAGGTGGTAGCTCCGAAGTCCATGCCGGCGTTGGCAGAGCCTAGGGCTGTGTGTTGGCCAGAGGTGTCGGGGGTGACGAATCCTGGGAATGCCAGTTCGGTTTTGAGGATGTTGTTGAGCAGGTTGGGGGTTTCGCAGGCGTAGGTCCCGTTGACGCGGTTCATGGCGCACATTACGGCGCCGAGGCCGGCTTTGACTCCGTCGTAGAAGGGCCAGAGGTAGGCTTCGTGTAGGGTTTTGTCGTCGGCGTTGCTGGAGTAGGCGGTGTTGTTGAGGGGGACGGTGACTCCGTTGTTGGACCAGTAGACTTCGGAGCGATTGGTCTCTTGCTCGTTGAGGAGGAAGTGCTTGCCGCAGGGGATGATGCCGGCCTCGCGAATGCCCTCGGTGGCGTGTGCGAATGCGATTCCGGCCAGGTAGACGTCCTGACCTAGGGTTTCCACTAGACGGCCGCTCCAGGGGGTGCGGCCTTGTGGGCCAACCGTTGGACCGTTGATCATGGTGTAGCCTTTGCCGTAGAACTCCTGACCGACGGCATGGAAGTTGGCTTTGATGAGCTCGGGGTCCCAGGTCTGAGCCATCGCCGAGGATTCGGGAAATGAGGTCACGTAGAAGAAGCTCTCTAGTCCTTGGGAGCCGTCGTCGGCTGTATAGGGCTCGAAGTTGATGGAAGGCACGCTTTGGCCGGAGATGAGCCGGATCTTGTCTACATTGGATAGGGTTGCCACTGCGGCGACGGATTGGTTGTATGCTGAAGCCCAGTCTTGGAGATCGACTGTAGTAGAAGTGTTAGCTGGTGAGTAGAAGAGATGGTAAGTTGAGCATACCTTGCAGGTCAGCCAAGAGGCCACTGCTGGTGCAGAAGCCGGTTGAGGCCAAGGCCCAACCAGCGTAAAAAGTTTTCCAGCCGATTGATTGGCGCATTTTCGTTGCTGTGCATGTAGTAGTTTCATATTGGGAGAAAGAGCAACAATTATATAGTCCTATCCGACTTAAGAGCCCTAATCTCTCGTGGATCGACAGAAAAGTACAGACAGCGGAAGCAGATCATCCGCCGTGATAAGTATGTTAATCGCAATATGGCAGCACCGAATGATAAGCGTACTGCCGTTATCAGCCCTTTCATTTTTTAGGCCAGCCTACAGGTTTGTAGTATAAGAATAAGACTTGGAGTACGTGCGCACGCCAGAACCAGCATCATCCTAGTATTCTCCACCACAGTCTTCTTCTTCATCTTTCAGAATGCTTCAGCTACTGTCACGACGATCGGTTTCTCCTACGGATCCGTTAACATGGAGTCATGTACGCAAAGAGCTCCTCTTTGCTACAATCATCCTAGGTTCCTGCGCAACCGGCTCCCTGGGCCCTCTACTGGTGCCCGGCTTCGCGGTTGTCGCTGCTGATCTCCAGGTCGACCTGACCAGCGTGACTCTACTGAACGGGAGCCTTGTCATGGCCCTAGGCATCAGTGCCTACGTTTGTTCTGCCTTCGCTCACTGCTTCGGCAGGCGCCCCGTATACCTCTTTACCACCCTCTTGGCGCTCATCTCCTGCTGCTGGGCTGAAGCATCCAAGTCTTACGCCTCGCTCATTGCATCCCGGGTCTTCCAAGGTCTGGGAATGGGCAGCTTCTTCGCCCTCGCCGGCACAGCCTCGATCAACGACGTCTTCGCAGTGCACGAGCGCGGCCGTCGCGTTGGCCTGTGGAACTTCGCCGTGATCGTCTCAGTCAACCTCACCCCGGTGATCAGCGGGTATGTCATTTCAGCACTCTCCTGGCGTTGGGCCTTTCGACTCGAAGCCATCCTCTTCGGCGTTCTGTTTGTTGCCGTGCTCTTCTTCTTCCCGGAGACCACCTTCCACCGCGATACCACGACCACAGAAACAACCAAGGTAGTTTCAGACAACTCAGAAGCAGAAAAGGCCCAAGCTGTCTCTCTTCAAGCCCCAATGATGGAGGTCGAGGATGAGAGACACCCTTCCCTCCTACGCGCCCTCATCGAGCCCTTCGGTCTGGTCCTCGACCCTATCGTCCTCTGGGCCTGCATCATGTGGTCCGTCATCTTCACCTGGACCATCCTCCTCGGCGCCGTCACCTCGCAGATCTTCACCGCGCCTCCCTGGTCCATGTCTACCGTCGCCGTCGGCAACCTCACCGGCATTGCGCCACTCATCGGGTCCGCCCTCGGCACTGTGATGGGTGGCTGGGCCTGCGACCTCAGCAGCAAGCTCATGGCCTCCCGCAATGGAGGCGTCTACGAGCCTGAATATAGACTGCTTGTCATACTCCCGGCGACGATGGCCATGGCTGCAGGTTCCTTTGGGCTGGGCGCCGCAACGGCCCAGGGACTCTCCGCTGTCGTGTGTGGGCTGTTCATGGGGATTGTGAACTTTGCTGTGGGCATGGGGTGTACGGGGATTGTGGCATATACGAATGATGTCTTGGGGGAGCGGGCGGGGGAGGGATTCGGGTTGGCGATGGTGGCCAAGAGCGCGTTTGCGTTTGGACTCTCGTTTGTGTTTAATGATTTTGTGACGGAGAAGGGGGTTTTGGTGTTCTTCTCGACGTTTGGAGCTGTTAGTGTTGGGGTTATGCTTACGACTTTGCCATTGTTCTTTTGGGGGAAGCGGATGAGGCAGAGAAATTGATTGTAGTCAGTCTTTATTATTGTTTCATGGCTAGGAATGAATGTGTTGCTTTGACTATTTCCTACTTAATTTCAGCACTGAAGTGGACGGTATACTAGGGTTTGTAGAGGGATTGAGTAATTATAGTAGTGTACCCTTTCCACTACCCAGGCTCCTCCATCCCTGTTACTCCCGTATTTCATTCCTTCATCCAATTCTGATATTTTTACTCATAGTTTCTTGCAGATAAGCAAGCATGCTTGTGCGAATGCCATGTTGCTATCGCATTCTACCTCGCCAAGACTATACATTATGTTAGCGGCGGAACATCCACATCCGCCCTGATATCCGTCCAAACTACGAGATAGTTGATAGTAGCCCGATACACACGATTGACTTTGACTTCCTATTAGCCAACCCAAACACTCACACCCAAGATTCCTTAGGCGGAACATAACCTCCCGAGCTGATATTGTAGAGCTGTTTCCATACCAGTAGTAATTCAGATATACTCATCGCCTTCCCAAAGCGCCTTATATAGTAACCTACAACACCAAGGTACAATTCCCCTACGACCACTCTATACTACAACAACAATAACCACCACCATGACAACCCCACCCCCAACCATCCGCGTCGCCGTCACCCAAAGCGAGCCCATCTGGCTCGACCTCGACGCGACCATCACCAAAACCTGCTCTCTGATCGCCGAGGCCGCCTCACAGGGGGCCCAACTGATCAGTTTCCCCGAATGCTGGATCCCAGGGTATCCAGCGTGGATATGGTAAGTAGTCTCCCTTCCTCCTTATCCCCCATCCCCCATCAACCAACATAATCTAAACCAAAATACATAACAGGACCCGCCCCGTCTCCCCAACCCTCCACACGCTCTACATGCGCAACTCCCTAAGCACAAGCTCCCCCCAATTCGCGCGAATCCTCGCCGCAGCCAAAGCCCACAACATAACCGTCGTGCTCGGCTTCTCCGAGAACGTCCACGACTCGCTGTACATCTCGCAGGCGATTATCTCGCACGAGGGGGAGGTTCTCTCCAAGAGGAGGAAGATTAAGGCGACGCATATGGAGCGCACGGTGTTTGGGGATGCTGATGCGGAGACGGGGCTGGCTGGGGTTGTTGACACGGCTGTGGGTAGGGTGGGTGCGTTGTCGTGTTGGGAACATGTTCAGCCCCTGTTGAAGTATTATATGTGTGCGCAGAGGGAGGGGATTCATGTTGCGGCGTGGCCGCCGTTGTTTAAGGAGGAGGATGAGGGGGATGAAGGGGGGTTGTTTTCGATGTCGGGGGAGGGTATGTATCTTTTCCTGGTACTTGTTGTTGTTGTATGGAGGATGATTGCTAATTGTTTGTGTGTGTGATAGGAGCTGCGGTGCTGGCTCGCACGTATGCTATGGAGTCTTCTTCGTTTGTGCTGCATACCACGGCTGTGATCAGTCAAGCGGGGATTGATTTGATGCAAACTGCTACGGGGGCGATTATGAATACTCCCGGTGGTGGCAGCTCGGCGGTTTTTGGGCCCGATGGGCGGCTTTTGTCGGAGGCGCTGCCGCCGACGGAGGAGGGGATTATTTATGCTGATTTGGACTTTGAGCAGGTATATAGGGCTAAGGCGTTTGTGGATATCGTGGGGCATTATAGTAGGCCGGATTTGCTGTGGTTGGGGGTTGGAGGGAGGGATCAGAGGCATGTGAGGGAGGTGGGGGACGAGGCGTAAAGAAGGAGTAGTGCTAGCTGAGTTATCCATCTTAGAAACGTTATATCTGATTGAACGGTGCCGATTCTGTAAGGAAGTCCCATTGCTGGGCATCTGCTGTATCGAAGTTGAAGAAGGCTTCGGGGAAGATGATGGCTGACATGCGCGGTTCGTCGCCGTCTGCAGCTGCATCTGCATCTGCGTCTACTCCCTCCAACTCCATCTCATCATCTATTTCATCCTGCTCATCACCTCCTCGACCCATCTCAAACCCATGCTGCAACGGCAATGCTCCCATCACACGCCATCTCCGCGCAAGCCCCTGCAACAGTCTCACCGCCCGCTTCGCCTTCACCCACCTCTCCTGCATAGCCAGCAGCGCCCGGAAGCACACCCGGAAGTGCGCCGTCGCCTGGCTGCGCAGGGTAGAATGCGTCGTGTTCGTGGTGTTGCACAGGTGCGTCACGGCGGCCGTGAGCACGCTGTGCACAATGAACGGCGGGATCTCAGTAAAGGAGCAGTGGATCTTGGCGTGGATGCGGAGAAGGCGGACTATAGCTCGGGCAGCGGTGGAGACAGAGCGGAAGGCGAGGCGATGGATGGGCGGGTTGCTTTGGGCCGCGTCGGCAAGATAGGGGCGGTGGACGAGGATGTAGGAGGTATGGTAGGAGATGTGGAGGTAGATGGCTGACGGGGTTGGGTGCTTGGTCGTGGTGACCTGCAGGGAGGGGTGGATGTTTTGCGAAAAGGAGTGAAGTTTGTCGCGGGCGTCTAGGAGGACGAGGGATCTATCAGCGCTGCTGAGTTCGGAGAAGTTGAAGGAGTAACTGAGCTGTTAGTCAGTACTCGTTTCGAGAATAGAATGGATAGGGCTATGAGATACATGTTGTCCATGTATTGATCGTGGATGAACCAGAGACGGCATTGGTGGTCAAAGGCGAGCTCGTCCAACGAGGGTGAAGGGCCCACGGCACTGAGAAATGAGGGTGCTTTGATTCGCTTCCACGGGAGCAGACAATTTCGGCCTAATAGAGACGTTGCAATCCTGTGTCGACTTGTTTAGCTGGCATCTATAATGTGACAATGAATGCATGCACTTGACGAACCGGTCAAGAAACACTGAGGACCAAAGGGCCCGCAGCCGCCGCGTATCTTGAGGGAAATGGCCCAGCTCGGGACTGCCTGCGCCAATATCTGGCGTGATGCTAGCTGGTAGACCTAGATGTAGAACTAGACTGGCACACATTGCTGCAGACGAGCGTCAGAATCTGTCCAGCTCGGGTTTCTTCAGTACCAGCACTCACAGTTATACATCCAGGCCATATTGTGCTGCTCCAAGCTAAGCTCCCGCCACGACATGATGGAGAGAGCCTGGATTGTCGAGATGTCGGGCGATTGCCGGCACAGCTGCAGGGCTGTAGCATCGACGACAGCAGCTGCCTCACCACCGAGCGCCTTGCTACGCGCGTCATCAGCAAATAGAGCCCCCGCCGCCAGCACAGCGGTCTTGATCAGTCGGAGACCTGGATTCAGGTTATCTCCGCGGAGTTTCTGCAGCGTCTCGGGGTCTACAAATTGTTGGATGGGGTTGATTAAGCGCGCGAACAGGTCAATGAGATGCCAATCCACCTGGTCCGACATCATAGGCTGCAGCTGCTGCAGCTGCACACTGCTTGGCCCAGGAATGGCGCTTATCGCTGGTGCGGCCGTGACCCTGGTGATCCTACTCTCATGACCAAGGTCCGCATCGTCCCAATGCACGACGGGAAAGCAGAAGTTGCCGGACGGCCCAATGAAGGATGCGTCGCCGTTGTTGTCAATGCTCATGCGCCAGATGAGAGCGCTGACATCCTCGATCGCCGTGCTCATGCTAGGCGGGATTATTGCAACAGCATCATCGTCCCTGTCGGCCCGCTCATCGCGATGGTCAACAGGAGTCAACACAGTTTCATTGACAGTGATCTGTGGCTGGGATTGTCCCCGTGCCAATTGCTCCTTAAGTGCCGCGATCTGGTCTTCCAGCGTTCGCACATAGTTGAGGTCCACTCTGCGCCTAAGGCAGGTGGCAGTTAGCACGATGTACATAGTTCAGGATGGATACCAACTTGATCCGCTTCTCTGCATTATACTCGCAGGGGGTGTTTCGGGCCAGACAGGAAGAACAGGCCGGACGCAGACCATCGCACTATGTGGGTTTGTTATCCATCTAGTACTTTCTACCATGTACTGCCGTTAGGGATGTACGTGTACGTGGGAATTCACCTTGCGCTTCCGCTTCCGACAGGTCTCGCAGGCGATAGAGACACGAGAGGAGGAGTCCATTTGCGTGCATCTAGGTTGCTAGTGATTGGGTTGGGATAAGTGTAGCAGTAGGCACTAGTAGCTGTTATCAAGGCGAGGAGAGCTGATAAGAGGCCATGCCCATCACGTAAGCTCAGGGCAGAACTGATAAGGTGTTTACCCCAGTGTACATGTCTCAATCCTCCTATTTACCAAGGAGAGGGCATGTACATGAAAATTCAGAACTGAGTCTTGAAAACATATTTTCACAACCTTTCTTTAGTCTTGAGCCCGCGAAAACCGCCTAAAGAAAAACTGCTTCTCCGGAGCCGGTCTCCGTCTATCCAACTCTTTCCGCAGCTCCTTGAATTTTCGCCTACTACCCGACAGTTTACCTCACAGAGCATCCCTAGCTGTTCCAATGTAACAGGATGCTCTTTCCCCATCTCATCTTCAGTTAATCGAAGAGCTTGTTCGCCCGTTACGATAGCGTCGCTCCACGATCCGTGGGACTGCGCACCGATGCAAGAGCACTGAGGGAGTTTAACCGAGCGCCAGGATTCCCCTCTTCCACCAGTCTGTCCTCCAACGCATCCAAGGCCTTTGCGTATGTGGAGACTGTAGCTTCATAAGCTTGCTGCCGCTTATAGTCTTGGGCAAGCCGCATCAGAAGACGGATTTCTGACTACTAACCGTACCGCAGTTATTACAGTGTCCACCAACCCAATGCCTACTAATCTGGTGTGCAGATTGTTTTCACCTCTTACTACCGATGATACCACTACTATTATCATGGTATAGATGGATCCTTCGCTGAATGGAATGAACAGTGATCCAGGGGTAGGTAGGAAGAGTTGCTCATACTGCATAAGCTTTGAAGAAAAGACGTTACCCATTATGACTACTATTACGTGAAATATCGTTATCGTGAACTGGTCATCCCTCCACCATTATGTTACTAGTGCCCCTCGTAGCACTCAGTCTTGAATTCAAGCATCGCGGAGGAGGATATTGGGCATTTCCCTCTCATAATACTGTTCCATCCGTCAGCGACTCATGCAACACTCGAGATCCCACGATGAGAAGAAAGATACAAACACACCTTCGCATACGCATCCTGCAACCGCGTCTCCAAAAAACACTTAGTCAACATTGTCTTTTTCAACCAATAGTCATACAGTGCCCGACTATCTGGATCTCCGGAAGGGCTCAGCTTTGAACAGCCCCCAGAATGCGTGCTTTCGGGATACTGGCGTGATAGCTGGGAGTTGGCGACTGAAACACGGTATGACGATCTCATTGATTGTATCATCAGCCTTGGGAATCCCAAGAGATGTTAAGAGTGGGTCCAGAAGTGACTGGAATGGTCCGAAGACTCTCATGTCTGACTTTGGAACGCAGAGGAATGATAGCTCGGGCTCTAGTAGATAAGGGAAGCCATCGGGCATGATGGGATCTAGGGGTGACTGGGCAAGGCAGGTTCGGTGTAACTTTGATAAGGTTAACAAAAAATATAAGGCGAGTAGGTAGGGCAAGGTGGGGGATTGTTGTACCGGATGTGTAGGATGTCCAGATATGACTGATTGCTCCCAATCACATAGTGAAGAATTAAGATGTATGCTTGGTAGAGTACTGGCCATGTCCAACCATTTCTCTATCTCAGCATTAGTTCTTATCTTTGGATCGAATTGAAAATAGCTGTTGGTACACCTTGATTGTTTTGCAGAATTCCGTACCTCCTTTACAAGCGTCTCTACCGCGTGTTCTTCATCTTGGCGAGAACGCCAGCGGCAGATAACGCGACAAATCACACCAGGGTCAATCTCCTCTGATATCTCGCCGTTGAGGTTTTGGCTTAGCACAGGTTCCAGGAGATCGTCCGCCCGCACAAACCCAAGAACCCTGCCGTCGTCTGTTTCGGTATATGCGTCAGCTCGCATACCGCACATGATCCAAACGTCTTCACTGGCCATGGCTCCTCCGGGACTGCGTAAGCACAACGGCAAAATTGTGCTGTTACATGACTCAAGGGCTGCGCAGGCAATCCCATCGATAATCGCACTGGCAAGTACTCGTTTAGTTGTCTCAAAAAGCGCCCGTCGCCGATTGGGCGATGTGAACTTTCCTTGTAGGGGTCCTGTCATGCTAAGTTGTCTCAAGGTTTGCGGAACGATATGTTGGTATGTTGCTGAGTCTGTTGATCCGTCCTTTTCCCCTGGATTTGGTCCTACTTCAACGGTCTGCAACAGCATGATGATAAGCCACGGACGTCGGAAAGATGGTGAAAGTAGCCAAATGATTGAACTGATCGCGATACACATTCGCCATTCTAAAGGCGTGGTCCACATGATAAACATATGTAGTAGGGCTCGCATCCTCGGTTTAGCCAAACGTCTGTGACATCAATATGTTCCCTGAGCGGAAATGAATTCCAGTAAGGCTGTGACAGTTTGTGGCATCCATGGAGAGAGATATCGCCGCGGAAGAGGCCGAAATGCAACGTCACTCGGGAATCCTACTGTTTCAGATAAGGACCTTCATGAGACCAGCCAGCTAGATAAGCTCAAAGGAAAGTGGAATTGTCATGGCAACTGGGTATGTGGATGTTATCTCAAGAGGCTTGCGCACATTGCTGCATACTTTAAGCATAAGAGCCGTAGGAAGGTATGGCGGAGTGATATCCACGCCATGAGTCAGTATATAAACCACTTCTAGTCCTTGGTGGCAACACCGAAAGGGAGGACTCAGACTTGATAATATAATCTGCGAAAGGTACATCACGTCCAAAAAATGGCCAGTTTCTCGTGAGTTTTCCCCCGGATTCCTATAATTTCCGACATACTGATGAGCCCTTTTCCGCTCCGCAAGGGACGAAGGTTATGACTGTTCAGCATATGCTGCATATCGCCCTTCCCCTCCTCAGGCTCTGTACGACACTGTTTTAGCCTACCATCAGTCTCCCCGCGAACTATGTGTCGACCTGGGCACTGGCCACGGGGCTGTGGCTCGCGCGCTGGCCACCCGTTTCAAATCTGTTATTGGAGTTGATTCCTCCGAGGGCATGCTGAAGCAAGCTTCAAGAGCTCGGAAATCGGACGTCAGTAATATCCAATATCACCAGTCCAATGCAGAGTCTCTCCCCTTCATTGCATCGAAGACGGTTGATCTGGTGATTGCCTGTCAAGCAGCACATTGGTTCGACCCTGAGCCGCTCTGGAAAGAGATGACACGGATAGTCCGGCCGGGCGGTACCGTTGTTTTCTGGAACTGGGGCCATTACGTCGTAATGGGACGCCCGCAGGTTAATCGTGCCCTGCAAAAGTTCTTTTTTGAGGATCTGGTACCGTACTGGCCTCAACCAGGGATATCAGTGTTCAACAATGAATGGATGTATCCCGTTGAATGCCGGGACTTTGCTAACTGGACCGACCTTACAAGGTTGGTGAGTATCCCTGCCGATGATGATGCGCCTGGCGTATTGGAGACGCCTGGAGCTATAAAAATGCGTGCATCACAGACCCTTGGTAGTCTGGAGACGCTGATACGGACATTGAGTATGGTCCATGAATGGCGCAAGGCACATCCTGAAGCTTTATCAGTAAAAGAAGGCGGATATGGAGACTGCGTGGACACTCTCATGCGAGATATGATCGAGGGCGAAGAAAAATGGCGCGCCTTTGTTACGTCGGGGGGGAATTGGCGGGACATCGAGGTAGATCTCGAAATGCGCAGCATTCTGCTAATGGCTCGAAAGAAATAGTCCCTATCGTACTGCGCAGATCCGCCTGAACGCTAGCCATGGCAGCATTCGTTCACCTTTCGATTGATCCTAAGCAGGTTGGACCTATCTAAAGCGTATGCTTTTTGAAGGATACTAGCGATCGCCTTGTTTAACAATCGGAAATGGAGGTTCAAAGTTTTGGAGAAAGTATGTAGGGAAAGATGATGGAGCGGCCCGCTGCTGCTGCTTAGCAGGTCAGGTGCTAAACGTGGTTTTTCTTCTTCGCGGATTGTTACCATTTCTATATTTCTTTAAATTGCCTTGGATATCTGTCACCATAGATTTACGTGATTTCGCGGATTTTCCTGTCAACAATATAAAATTCATAATCATAATAAGCGAGAGAAGAGAAGGTGGCACCTTCACGATTACGGTTATTACATTTCTGTCTCTGCTGGACAAACAGTCTGCGGCTCTGACCAAGTTGGCAATAGCCTATCAGCTATTTCTCTCTAATGTTTTCTTTTCTTTTCTTTCTTCTTTCTCTTGAAAGTCTAAGGGTTGGCTGGCTGGCATCATAAGATCTATCTAAAGGATGATCTGCAAGTCAATGCAGCTATTACTAGATAGATTAGTTGGATATTATGACGCAATGACGATCCACGAAAGTTAATAACATGGGGTCTCCGCATGTTATTATTGTTGCTATAATAAGCATAGGATGTGGAATGCGTCAGAGATCGGCCGTCGTATTATGAGTTGTATGCAGCAGGGAGCTGCATGAACATACGGCAGGCACGTAGCACAAACATGACACGGGTGAAAGTGGAATGAAGCCATGTGATCATTTGGTGAGATTGCATTGACATGCATATAAATATGTATTATTGGAAGAAGATATAAAATATTTATAGAGAAGGTAGGCAGAAGTGTAAAAAAATGACTGGCCGGTGAATGTAAATGGCATGAACGTCCTGACATTCAAGGTAGATCTTTCCGACCAGAAAAAAGAAATGAAAAGAAAAATCCCAAATCAATAATAGCTATCTAGCAATGTCTAGAAGTAGGATGGGGTATGCTGCGGTTCATCTGCCTCTATATGCATAATTCGTGATCATCAATGCAAGGGGGTTCGTAACCAAGCATGGGTTATCGTCATTGATCGGCATGTGCGCATTCAAGTTCGTGGGTGGTATGCGTCTGCCACTCGTCATTTTCTGTTTCCACATCCGACGAGACAGATGAACTGGGGCTGGAGTGGTAGAGTGTGGTACTGGCGCTGGACAGCGGAGGGTCGGAAGACGGGGTCTCCGTTTCGGACTCGTGTGGTATCGTTTCAGGCTGGGACGCGGATGATGTTAAACCCGTCTCATCCTGGACGGGATGAAGCAGTTTGTCACGGTTCTCTAACGGTCCCAGGGTCCATCGCCATTCACAGCGACGTTTAGCTCGCTTCCTGCGCGGCGTTTGTGGTGTCAGGCTGCCTGGGTTGCTGGGTCCCGCGATTCCGTCCATCAAGGCCACTGCCCGGACTTGCCTCTCGGCATTGGAATGTTTGCGCTTCTTCCGCTTAATGGGAGACGATGTCGTCTTCCCTAAGCCGGCCTCGGGCTCATCTTCGGAAGTGCTGGAATCCGAGGGACACCCGCTGGCGTTTGAATCCGAGTCCTCATCTGATGAGGTCACCTCTGGTTGCTGAGGTTGAGGTTGAGGTTCGAGGGCAGGTTCAGGTTCCTCGTGTAAATCGGAGTGGCGTGCCGTGTAGTGCACGGTCTGGATTTCCTCTTCCAGAGGATTGCGATAGCTGACCTGCTTCTTCGCGGGAAAGAAGACGCGGCGCGCGCTCGGTCCACCATTCGGCCCGGTGGTGGCCACCGATCCAGCCCGTCGGCGGCAGGTCGGCTCGAGCGGCGAGTTTCGCAGAATACTCTTCACCCCCAGTGGGAGTTGGTATGGGTTGTGTGTGGTAAATGGAGAGGATGGTTTGCTGAAGCGTTGGTTGGATGGGTGTTTGGATGACGGAGAGGCAGTAGCGGAAGAAGGGCCGGTGACCTCATAGGCATTTTTGAAGGTATTGCGGACGGTGGGAGATGCCGTTCCGGCTGCGAGAGAGAGGGACAACCCCGTTGAGGATGTGCCAAAGGTTCGGGGAAGAGAGGAAGTTTGAAGAGTCAGCTTCGGTCGGGATGATATCGTAGGTTGTTGTGTGGCACTGGTGGATGAGGCGGATGAAGAGGAGGAGGTGGTGGTGGTTGCAGTCGAAGCCAGACTGCAGACCATGTTGGAGGAAGACGAAGGGTGGGATGCTTGCGGGGTCATGGGGGTTGCGAGCATGGCGAAGGCCCCCAAACACAACGGCGGAGGAGCAGTAGTAGAAGAAGAAGAAGAGGAAGAGGAAGAGGGAGGAAGAGAGGAAGGAGGAGGATAAACGAAATTAGATCAGAAAGCGAGGAGGTCTTGGAGGGTGCAACAGTAAGGCCCCGCACCAAGAAGCAGCAAAGACGAAGCAGAAGCAGTAGCGCCTTGCCAACAGCACCGGAGTGTGATTCAAGATGCAGAAGTGCAACAACCGGCTCCAAGCGCGTTAAATCCAGGGACGATAAGGTTCTGAAATAAGACCAGGTGGGATCCCAAGCACTGGAACCAAGCAGACAAGAGACGTGGGCGCTTGTACGAGGGTCGCCTTATTTTAGAATGATCTGCGACTCATGGTTTGCTGGAATGTTGAAGAAATGACTGTTGGAACCAGAGGACAAGCCAGAGGATAGGCAGAAGAAGATCGATTAAAGTCAGTCCAAGAGGAAAACTGGGTTAAATGAAAATGAAAATGAAAATGAAAATTATCTTTTAACCGCGGGGGAGGGAAATTAAAGAAATTAAGAAATTACTGTTAATCAAAAGTGCTAAATTTACGAGTCTTCGCCATCCTATCATCCAACCATCCAACCATCCAAGCCGGGCTGGATGGAGTCGCTGGACTCCATCGCACCCTCAGCATCTCCATTCAGGCATGTCTAGTCTCCTCTTCACAGTCTCAGTGCTCCTCTGCTGGACCACCGACCGGCTAGTCGCTCCCCATCTAATTATAACCCAACTATTGACGCCGCCGCCGACGGGCCCCAGTTTTCCGATGATCGAGAATGGCCGATCCTTCCAACGGCTCCATTCCATCTGCCATCTTCTGGCCATCGACGCCCGGGCGAGACACGCGGCCGATCCATCCCTCCAGCAGTCTGATCTCCGCCATGTCTCTGCTGGAAATCTGCCTAGCGTTGACTCATATCCACCTTGAGCGTAGTTATGTTGTTTACGATGCATTTCCACGTTGAGTATTGCTGATTGTTGTTCCCGGGCACGAGTTGCGACTTGCGAGACGTTATTTATAGTAATAAAATGGTGCGCGTCACAGTGCTGCCATTACGTAAGGCAGTTGCATCTGGCACGAACCAATCAGAACTGCAGCTGACGCGGTGTTCTAAAAATGGGATAGTCCCTGCACGAGTGACTGTGGGGAAATGACACCCCTTTGGGTTAGTGTCATGGTCACGCACTTACTGAGTCAGCCAGGGTCCAACCAACCAGAAAGTCTGAATGAGCTTTACCCCAGCCACCTAGCAAAAGAAGCGTGACCACTGCACCAGCCACATCCCAGCCGCAGGTTTGTTGCCCAATCAGCTGGATGACTCAATTCGCACTAGACAGAATGTTGCATCGCACTATCTATCCTATCTATGGATGGATCTATCTCGGTTGACTATCGAATCTCTTCTCGCTACTTGATGACAGGTGCGGACGGACAAATTCCCTTTTTGAGCTTCCATTTCCAGCCCTCTGCATTCCGGTCATATTATCCACCGGAGGTTTTCGCAACATCCTTTTCGCCTCCCTACTACGGATACAGTAGGGACTCAGTACAAGGTAGCAGACGGAATACAACTCTCCGTTGAGGTCTGCCTGGAATCCGATCCCCACTGGCTCTCTCTCAGTCGATGCTACATAGTAGTTCATGGCTGTGTTACCATCCAGAGACGACCGCCGAATTATCCTCCACTTTGTCAGTCACGCTACCCATATAGTGATCCATACTGCACTCAAATAAAAATAACGTTTTCAAAACCCTACGGGAAACGTGACTCCATTCGGCCGTTAGCTAACTGCCTCTCTGCAATCCCCACAGGATTATGATTGTTTCTACGCATCGGTCTTCGAGGTGGAGCAGCCGGTGCTGAAATCCCTGCCGTTGGCCGTCCAGCAGAAACAGATCGTAGTCACCTGTAATTATGAGGCCCGCCGGCGCGGGTTGCGCAAGCTCCAGTTGATCAAAGAGGCCAAACAGATCTGCCCGGACGTCGTCATTGTCTTAGGTGAAGATCTGTCTAGATTTCGCGATGCATCCAAGGATCTATTCCTCTACATTAGGTCCTTCGTTTGGGGGGAGAAGGTCGAAAGACTCGGATTTGACGAGGTATGTATTGCTAGTTTCGCCTCTACTGCAAACTTGATTTCATTGTCAGGACTGCCCGTTGAGGTGGTTCTCCACGGGTTCCTGGGCTGCAGTGAGCTTCTTCGCGATCCCATCTAATACCCGCCTGCAGTTGTTCTTGGATGTCACCGAGATGATCAACTACAATGTCGATCTGTTAAATCGCTATGATCTGGAACATTCATTCTTTCATCTGGACCGACACGAACCCACCGTGGGTTTCACTTATGATGCCACCCGATTATGTGGCTCCACTTACCCAGCTGATCCGAATACGATCGCTGCCGCTGCGCCCTCGACGACTGCGACAGCTGACGAAGACGCATCAGCCTGGCTTTACACTCGACTGCTGGTGGCCTCGCACCTCGCAGGCTACCTTCGCGGTCAACTGGAGCAGCAGAAAGGGTACACTGCCACAGTGGGGATCTCTACGTCCAAGCTTCTCGCCAAGCTCGCAGGCAGCACTCATAAACCGAACAACCAGACCACCCTGCTTCCCCCGTATACTACACCGGCGCTTGCTGCGCCCAGTAATGTGCTGGATTTTCTCGATGCGCATGAAATCAGGAAGATCCCTGGTATCGGGTCAAAACTGACGCGGAAACTCAGTCACTATCTTGCTGATGAAGGCGCTCACTCAGCCCCAGCGGTGACCGCCGACGACACCGCTGACACCGACAAGGTGACTGTGAGAGACATTCGGTTGTTGCCTGGCATGGGCCCGTCCCTGCTCAGTCGGATCTTAGGGGGCCCAGGGGCACCCCGAGATATCGGGGTGCGGGTCTGGGGACTGCTGCATGGCGTAGACAATACCGAGGTCGTCCAGGCAGGAGATTTGCCCACGCAGATAAGCATTGAAGATTCCTACGGTCGCTTGGACAGTTTCGACAGCGTCCGTAAAGAGCTAGTCTCGCTCACAGGGAGCTTACTTCGTCGGATGCGGACGGATCTGACAGAAAAGGACGGGGAGACTGACAGTACAGCAGCAAACCAAGTTGCAGTGTCTAAAGTCCGATGGCTCGCGCATCCACGGACCCTGCGGCTGTCCACCCGGCCCCGATCTGCCACCGACAATGCGCAAGCTTACCATGGGGGGAGAATTTCTCGTTCAGCGCCGCTGCCCAGCTACGTCTTTCATCTTGATGAGAGTGTAGACGCGCTGGCTGAACGGTTGGTACAAGATCAGCTACTGACCATGTTCCGCAAGCTTCACCCGGAGAGATCTGGGTGGAACCTGCGGTTAATGAATGTCGCTGTGACGAACCTAGTAGAAGCAGCTGGAGAACGAAAGCAGAGCAGTGGACGCGATATTGGTAAGATGTTTCAGAGCCAAGGGTCGCGGCGCAACGATGCCTTGGCCAATTCAGAGCCGGTGCACGTCTCTACGGGTAACAGCGGCTCGATGGTTCCCCCTCGGGAATCCCTTCATCGTGGAGACGCTGCAGCCATGACTGAGAATGAAGTGGAGGAAGCTGCATGGGAAGAGAGCGATGGAGAAGATGGCATGGCTTGTGTAGCATGTGGCGTCTGCGGCGCCATGATTCCGCATTTCGCCCGAGAGGCGCACGAAGCATTTCATTTGGTTCCCGACTGACCGTGAGTTGGGGTTACTGGGCGCCAAACTGCGGGTGGAGGGATGGGAATGGTGACACTATGGTTGAAGAGTATTGACCCCAGGAATGAGTGGTTATTGCTCTTGAGTTATAGTATAAGACAACAGAATAATGAGCGATGATCCGTAAGCGCCGGGAAGCTTGGCGGGTGTCCGCGACAACCAAAAGCGGAGAAGCGATGAATCGACCACCAAATGGTTTGTTGTTGTTGATTCGGGGTCCAGTTGCAATCCCTGAACCGGACCCTGTAAATCCCTCCCGTCCTCTCCTCAAAGTCCCTCGCTACTATCCTCCGCCTTTTTCACCCCCTCCACTTTATTTTCCCATCCATCATCTACCATTCTCTCAATCCAATTCACTTTCGTTGAATTAGACTTGCTTTTGGTTTCCCTCTGGACCGACGTGTATTTGTTTACTGCTTGGAGGGAGATTCTCGCCATTCATTCCAGATTTCCGCCCGCCCGCCAAGGCGGCTGCGCCTCCAGCCAAGCCAAAACCTCCTTGGTTCGCCAGCTGGAAGAATCCCTTTCACTCCCCCGTCAAGTGAGTCTCACTGCTCACTCCGGTTGTTGCGCGCGCGCTCTCTCTCGCTCTTCTCTCCACACCTCCAGTATACGTCCTCTGAAGGTGTGAGAGACTGCGACGATCCGGGGAAGAATAAACCCCCCTCCTGCGCAGCTTAATCTCCGGGGTGATCCGTCATACATGACCGGATCCCGAGCCAAGATCTCGACCGGGTCCATTCAGCCGTGAAAGGGAACTCATTCGTTTCCACTTTTCGTCGCTGCCTGATGCTGTGGACCGAAGGGCTCTGCTAACCCTGACTTTCCGGATCTCTCGCTGTTGTTTTGATGCCAGCACACTCGTTCAGCGCATACCTTCAACCTCTCCCATCGGCTGTCTTCACTCGCTGACAGCCATGCGGTTTCTTACCTATTCCCTGCCCTTCATTGCAAGTGCTATATCACTCTTTGGGGCTAATGTACAAGGTCAGTTCGGCGACATCCGGCGCATGGAGCTATTCTAACTTGAATGAATGCAGCTCGATCACAAGCTCCAAGTGCCATCCGTCATGTGTCGACGCTTGACCAGCCCACCATCAAGACGCCCTCGCAGCGGGTCGATCACCTTGACCAGTTTGAAATCACCTTCAATATCCATGATACGCATCAGCGGATAAAGCTGGAGCTGGAACCCAACCACGACATCCTGGCAGAAGACGCATCCGTACAGTACCTCGACGCCGACGGGAATGTGCGACGCCACGAGCCCATTGCCCGACATGAGCACAAGGTCTTCAAGGGGAGGAGTCTACTCGGGCGAGGAAAAGGCATGTGGGATCCGGTCGGATGGGCGCGGATCTACTTGAAGCAGGATGGTTCGGAGCCACTGTTTGAGGGAGTCTTCAGTGTCGACGGCGACAACCATCACGTTCAGCTGAAATCGGCATACATGGAGAAGAAACGCCCCGTGGATGTCGACCTTCCCGACTCAGCGAAGGATTATATGATCTTCTACCGGGATTCGGATATGGTGCGCCTACATACGGAATTGAAGCGGTCGTCGCTCGGATCAACCTCGTGTCAAGCCGATCAGCTCGGCTTCAACACCAACCCCAACCACCCTGTGCTACAACCGTACGTCCAGGCGGAAACGGATGCGTGGGGAGCGATGTCCTTGAATTCTTTGTTTGGACTCAACAAGCGCCAGTCTGATATCGGAAGTGTGTCCGGTAATGCTGGCGGTGTCAATTTGGCGTCGACCATTGGCGATACTTCGGGCTGTCCGAGCACGAAACAGGTGGCTCTGATTGGCGTAGCAACGGACTGCTCCTTTACCGGCTCATTCAATAACGAGACGGCCGCCAAGGAATGGGTCATCAGTACCGTCAACAGCGCGTCCAATGTCTACGAAAAGTCCTTCAACATCACGATTGGGCTGCGGAATTTGACCATCACCGACAGCTCATGCCCCGACAATCCGCCCGCGGCCACAGCATGGAACATGCCCTGCTCCAGCGGAAATCTCACCTCTCGTCTCGATCTGTTCTCCAAGTGGCGCGGCGAGCAATCCGACGACAACGCTTATTGGACCTTGATGAGCGATTGCGCGACGGGCAACGAGGTCGGACTGTCTTGGCTGGGCCAACTCTGTAATAGCGATGCTTCTTCGGATGGCTCCAGTACGGTCAGTGGAACTAATGTTGTCGTTCGGTCTTCCGGCTCGGATTGGCAAATCTTTGCTCATGAATCAGGTCACACCTTCGGCGCCGTTCACGACTGCGACTCTCAGACCTGTGCGCAGGATCTTGAAGCCTCGTCTCAGTGCTGTCCGTTGACCTCGAGCACCTGCGATGCCAACGCAAAATACATTATGAACCCCACAACTGGCACAGACATCACCTCGTTCTCGCAATGTACTATCGGAAATATCTGCGCAGCCCTGGGCCGCAACAGCGTCAAGTCCAGCTGTCTCTCCGCCAACCGCGACGTCACCACCTACACTGGCAGCCAGTGCGGCAACGGAATCGTCGAGTCCGGCGAAGACTGCGACTGTGGCGGGGAAGATGGTTGCGGCGACAACAACTGCTGCGACGCGAAGACTTGCAAATTTAAGTCGGGAGCTGTGTGTGATGACTCCAACGACAGCTGCTGTTCAAGCTGCCAGTTCTCCTCAGCCGGGACAGTATGTCGCGCCAGTCGCGGCGACTGCGATGTGGCAGAGACCTGCAGCGGCAACTCCAGCACTTGTCCTACCGACTCGTTCAAGAAGGACGGCACCAGCTGCGGCAGCAGTGACTCGGGACTCGCCTGCGCCAGTGGTCAATGCACCAGCCGAGACTACCAGTGCCGCAGCGTGATGGGCAGTCTTCTCCACAGCAACGACACCTACGCATGTTCCTCCTTCAGTTCCTCCTGCGAACTGGTCTGCACCTCCCCGAAGATCGGCACGTGCTACAGCGTCAACCAGAACTTCCTCGACGGCACTCCCTGCGGCAGTGGCGGCTACTGCAGCAACGGCGACTGCAAGGGCCAGAACGTCGAATCCTGGATCAAGAACCACAAGGGCATCGTAATCGGTGTCGCCTGCGCCGTAGGCGCCCTCATCCTTCTAGCCCTGGTGACCTGCATCGTCAACCGCTGTCGTCGGGCCCGCGCCCCCAAACCCGTGCCGCGTCCAGTGCCCTACGGACCCTGGCCCGGCGCTAGACCTCCCCCGCCGCCGCCCATGAACCAGTGGCCGGCGCGAGGCTATCAAGGATTAGGGAACGAGCCGCCGCCACCCTATCCAGGTGTAGCTGGCCAGCCAGTACCGCAATACATGTCTCCCCAGGGGCGGTACGCTTAATTGACGGGGGTTTTCGTGCGATTTAGTATGCATTATGATCCTTGCAGCCACTAGCATTGCATCTTGTGACGATTGATTGATTGAACTAATTGACCTTAACATTCTTTGTCTTGGAGTGGAGGCGTGTTTTAGAGTTTTGGTTTGGTGCTGGATTTATTGTTCTTTTCTATACGGGGTCTGGGTGTTTCTTTAAACTTACAATCAATGGATACAGTGCCTGGGGTTGGTTGACGTCTTGCTCAATCAATCTTTCTTTCTCTCCCTCTCTTGCCCATATTAGACGGGCCGTGGTACGTATGGTCGGGGGTCTGATGTATGTATTCATGCCGTGTATAATGAATTCTTCAGAATATATTACTTCCGTCTTGTACTAGGTATAGTAAGTAACAGTGACCATAGCATAGTAGTAGCAGTCAGGAATGGATTCGATATTGATATTTTTATTTTCATTGTATAGTCAAAATCCCAAATCGATTGGCGCCAGTCCATGCAGAGTACGTAGTAAAATAATTAAACGTGAACCAGAAGCAGGTGGACAGACACACACACACTCACACCAAAGATAACTCAGGTAAACAAGAAAACCATCCATCTCCCTTCCACCAACCAAACCGGGAATTCCACCCAATCCACCTACATATCCAATAATAAGAAAACTTAAACAAAGAGAGGTATAAAAGAAAAGACAAGAATCACTGCCAACAAATCCCCACGAACGCCTCGCGCGTAACACCGCCCACACCCTCCAAATCAAACTCCTCTATCATGGCCCTCAACTCCTCCTCCTCGAGGCCCGTCTCACCCAATTCCCTGGCTACGCGCCTCAGATCCTCCAGATCAATGTATCCCTTCCCGCCTTCATCGAAGAGTTCGAACGCGCGCAGGATCTCGTCGCGCGGATCCCGCTCCAGTATCTTCAGCGCCGTGACGGCCTGAAAGGCCGATAGTGGCATGAGCAGGTTACTCGGGTGTTGGGGGTTCGTAGTTGCTGCCGCGCGGTTCTGTTGTTGTTGGGGTGGGGGAGGGTTGCCGGCGTTCTGTTGTTGCTGTTGTTGGACTTGGGGACGCGGGACGCCGTAGGTGGTTAGGAGGGAGATGAGCTCTTGTTTGGGGAGGGTGAAGCCTAGGGCGCGGAAGGCGACGCGGAGTTCGTGGTAGTCGAGGTGGCGGTCGCGGTCGAGGTCGAAGAGGGTGAACTGTTTGTTTTATCTTGTTAATCGTGTGTTTGTTCCTTTTAGGATGCAGTGTATGTATGTATGTATGTATGTATGTATATGTTTGTTGTTTGACGGGAATGACTTGGAGAGGAGGGGGTAATTACAGCTTCGTTGATCTCTTCGCGTTGCTCCTCTGTCAATCGGTTCAAGGGATTTGTGTCTTGTTGGGGTTGTGAATGCATGGGTGGTTGCGGTGGTGCTTGCGATGGACCTGGTGCCTGTTGGCTGGCTTTGGGGTCGGCGAAGTCGCCGGCCGTGGGAGCGCCGGGCGCGCCGGCGAGACTGCGGTGTCGCGAGAAGGAGGAGGCGCTGAAGGGGAGGGCGTTGGCGTTAATGGATCGGTCGGGGAGTTTTCCGGAGGCGTAGGAGCGCGTGCCGAAGGGTTGTGAGGAAGCCATTGTGTTTGGTTGTTGGTGGTGTGGTTTAGGTCGGTGAGGGAGCACCCCGACCGCGGTCGGTCGGTGGGGGGTGGAGGGTGAGAGTCAATGGAGGAGGGGGTGTTGGTGCAAGGAGCTGGGAGAGTGGGATTGGATGTGCGATGGGTAAAATGACAGGTTGTAAGGGGGTGGTGGTGCAGTGGGTAAACAATCTGGAGACTTTGGGCGATGAGATGAAGAGCTGGAGGAAGAGGAGAGAAAGATGGAGGTGGAGACGCGATGGAGACGCGAGGCGGCGGTTTGATTGGCGGCGGAGGCTAACCTGGAACACGTTTGGTTTGAACATCCTACTTTGTACTTAGTTCTCGGTAGAGTAGAAGTCTAAATTGTAGAAAATCATGGTCTGTCATATGAAATCCATTTCTTCTACCATGGTCTATTGTTCTTGGTAGAAAAGTATGTGTGAGGCTGTTCCTTAGATGCGCCCCTGGTATCTGCTGGCCTCCATGGTTACTCATACTCCTACCCAATCGCCCAATGTGCACTTTTCCTGTGCCTGGACAGGGGAAAGCTATTTCTGAAAACACTGCATGGATGTTGATGGTCTTCGTCTGACCGTGCAGACGAATTTACGTCCCAGATCTGGCATTGGCATGCTGCCAACGCTCGAGGCGATCAAGGTGGTCTTGTGTAAGCATGTTCATGCCATGAGGCACAGGCTGGCTATGCGTTGCCTTGTGTGTGATGATTGAGGGTGAGTCAATGGCACTGGCAGGTTTATACTGCCTCATTGACAGCGAAATGATAGTCTACCTCATAAGATCTGGGTCCACTTGATGCCCTAGATCGTGATCCTCCAAAAACTTCCGTCCCAATATCTGCTCCGGAAGATAATCCTGGACAACCTCCCCATCGACATAGTTAGGATTATACTTGTATTCCTTGCCGTATCCGAGCTCCTTCATCAACCGAGTCGGCGCATTGCGCAGATGGATCGGAACCGGTAGCCCAGCAACGCCGGGCTCTGCTAGCGCAGCAAATGCATTGTTCAGGCCGCGGTACGACCGCGTGCTCTTCTTTGAGAGTGCCATGGCAACCGTCGCATGTGCCAGATTGATCCGTGCCTCCGGTAGGCCGATCTTTTCCACGGCCGAGTGGGTCGAGATGGCTAGCGTGAGCATGCTGTTGTCAGCAAGCCCAATGTCTTCGGATGCGACCACGATCAGACGTCGAGCGATATAGAGCGGGTCTTCCCCCGACTGGATCATGCGAGCAAGATAGTATAGCGCCGCATCCGGATCGCTCCCCCGGATGGACTTGTGAAAGGCGGAAATGGTATCGTAGTGTTGATCCCCGGCCCGGTCATAAACAAGAGTCTTCGTCAGTGACCGCTTGATCTCGTCCTTGTTTATTCCAGGCCGTTTCGACAGATCCATGGCGAGCTCAAGAAGATTGAGGGACGTCCGCGCGTCCCCATCGGCGAACTTGGCCAAGTAATCAATCAATTCCTCATCGACCAATTCCGAAGGCGAATAGTTCGGTCCTTCCAGGCGTAGTGCTCGATGGAGGATCGATCTGATATCCTCGTCTGTAAGTTTGGACAGAGTGAATGTCCGACACCGGGACAGCAGAGCGCTCTGCACCTTGAAGGAGGGGTTCTCTGTGGTGGCACCGATGAGCGTAACCTGCCCACTTTCTACGGGCCCCAGAAAGACATCTTGCTGGGACTTGGAGAATCGATGAATCTCATCACAGAAGATGATGGTTTTACGTCCCGTCAGGCTGAGCTCACTCTTCGCTTCGGAAAAGATCTTCTTGCACTCGGCAACCCCGGTACTGGTGCTGTTGATCTCGACAAAGCGACTACCAACCATCGAAGCAATCACGCGAGCAATAGTTGTTTTCCCTGTTCCTGGACCACCCCAAAGGACCATGCTGGGAACCCGATCTTGCTCGATCAGCCCCCGAAGCACCCCGTTTGGCCCTACAAGCTCTTGCCCGCAGACATCGTCAAGAGTCCGGGGACGCATGCGTTCCGGTAATGGTGCAGCCCTTTGCAAGGCGCTAACCTTGGGTTTCTTTGGCTCACTCGACGGTTGGCTAGGCCCAGATCGCTCGTATACTTCCGAAGAGTTGGCATCGTGCGGTGTCGCCCGTTTGCCGTTGCCGTTGCGCAAGGGGGAAGACGTCACATTTTGATCTCGCTGTCCATTTGTCTGAGCAGACTGGGCAGTAGCTTTCTTCGCAGAGGCTGGCTGGAAGAAGCTGGGAACTGGAGCTTTCTGAGTGGCGGGAGTCTCGCCCGAGCTGGACGGCTCTTCGATAAAGTTCTGGCAGTCGGAATCGATGTGGTCGTTAATCTTCAGGGAGGAGACGGACTGGCTGCAGATGGGACAAGACACCATGATGGCGGGTAGTCATTAGAATGGTAACAGAAACGCTGCCAGCAAGCTGGGTGCAGAGCAGCTCCCAGTGGCGGCCATGGGAAATGGAGCTATCAAATCACTTTCTGATTAAGTGGTGAAACGCGTTTCCGACGCGCGCGATAAGCCGGCTGACTAAGAACGGTAGCAGTCGGTTGTGCCTGGGTGCCTTGATGCCTGAGGAACTAGTGCGTCACTTCCGATGCTCGGTCTGATTTACAACCAGAACACCAGTCAATAGTGAGTATGCCCTCAGTTCTCCTGCATCAATTGACTCGTCGACAATCTCTAATAACGTCTAGTTGACACTTGCGCACTCCCTACCGAGGTCCGTTCCGAATTCACCGTTATCGCGCCCATCGGAGCTCATCTCTGCCTACTACTGTCACTGCTACTGTTATATGCGAGGTAGGGATGCACATGCCGGAGGATGGCGGACTGTCAATTTATCCCTTTTGGTCCTTCAAGCACTAAAGCTTCTATGTGACAGAGAACTCGTGTCGAGACAGTCTTCAATCAACACTTGTGGAACGGTATCTTATCAGCACTGTCCGACCCAGCAAAGCACGCAATTATAGTTGGCGGCCGCCAAAGCGAGTCCCGCTCTTGTCTCCCCCGGATCTGATCTGACTCTCTTCGCTACTTTTCGAGCCACTCTTCTCTTCCCTTCTCTCCTCTCCCCGCTCTCCTCCAATTCCTCGGCCCAGCTGCCTCTATGTTCTCTGGCCACCGCGCTGCTATTTTCTCTACCAGAGCCATCAAGTTCCAGCCCTCACCGGCCGTTTTCCTGCGCCCCTCGTCCACTCCCACACTACCCCGCCAGTCTCTCTTCCGAGCGATGTCGGCCACCACGGCTCGTCCCGACCCTTTCAAACCGGCGGCCAGAGTCGCTGGCCAGAGACAGGATGTCTGGTGCGATGCGCGCGAACTCTCACCTTGCTGCTTTTCATTGTCTGATCGGATCGCAGGTCCATTGTCAATGAGGCCGCCGCTGCCTCTCCCGTCCAGCCCATCGTGAACATGGGACAGGGTTTCTTGTGAGTTTAAATCGCCGAACCAGGATGACCGGAGTTTCTGACCATGATCCTACTTGCGCAGTGGCTACAACCCTCCCAAGTTCGCCCTCGATGCCGCCAAGGAGGCCCTTGACCGTGTCGACTGCAACCAATACTCCCCCACCAAGGTATAACCGGACTGCGACATACCCATACCGGAACATTTGCTCACCTTCGACTAGGGACGCCCGCGTCTGAAGCAAGCTATCGCCGATGCCTACTCGCCTTCCTTTGGCCGGGCTCTTAACCCGGACACCGAGGTTACGATCACCACGGGTGCAAATGAAGGTGGGACATACTGGGTTGTGTGCGCGACTTGTAGCTGACGGACTGTTCAGGTATGCTGAGTGCCTTCATGGGCTTCATCGAGCCCGGCGACGAGGTGATCATCTTTGAACCCTTCTTCGACCAGTGAGTCACCTTTATTCCTGCCATGCAAACCCGTCTGACGGCCCCAAAGGTACATTAGCAACATCGAGATGCCCGGTGGAAAGATCCGCTACGTCCCGCTTCACCCTCCCAAAGATGGCGCGACGAGGACTTCCCCCGCCTCCGAGTGGACGATAGACTTTGAGGAGTTGGAGAATACCATCAATGACAAGACGAAGATGATTGTAAGCGTGCCTTACTTCCTCATTCATATTGCTATAATTAACCATGTCTTTAGGTCCTGAACTCTCCGTAAGTAGCGTGACAAACGACATGTCAAGCAGCAAACTGACCAAGGACAGTCACAACCCCGTTGGCAAGGTCTTCTCGCGTGCTGAGCTGGAGCGTATCGGAGAGATCTGCGTGAAGCACAACCTGATCATCCTTTCTGACGAGGTCTACGACCGCCTCTACTACGTCCCTTTCACCAGAATCGCTACCCTGTCTCCCGAGCTCTACGAGCGCACTCTCACCGTCGGCTCTGCGGGCAAGGCCTTCTACGCCACTGGCTGGCGAGTAGGATACCTCATCGGCCCCGAGCACTTGATTAAGTACGTGGCCGGCGCGCACACCCGCATCTGCTACAGCAGTGTGTCTCCTCTCCAGGAGGCTGCCGCCGTTGCCTTCGAGCAGGCCGACAAGGTCGGATTCTGGGACGAGAGCCGGGCTGAGATGAAGAAGAAGATGGAGCGTTTCTGCGAAGTCTTTGACGAGCTCAAGATCCCCGTGAGTATCCCATTGCCAATACCTCTCAAAAGCCTGAACTAACCATAGCTCGCAGTACTCGGACCCCGAGGGAGGCTACTTCGTTCTTGCCAACATGTCTTCGGTGAAGCTTCCTGAGGACTACCCATTCCCTCCTCACGTCGCCAGCCGCCCTCGCGACTTCAAGCTGTGCTGGTTCCTGATCCACGAAGTCGGTGTGGCAGCCATCCCTCCCACCGAGTTCTACACCGACGCCAATGCGCACATCGCCGAGGACTATCTCCGCTTCGCTGTCTGTAAGAACGACGACGTGCTGGAGACGGCCAAGGAGAGGCTGCGCGGCCTAAAGAAGTATATTGCATGAGCGTTTCAACATGTTTGATTAATGTGACGGGCTAGCATAGAGCGGGAATCTGATATTGCCTTCAACGGCTGGTTCAACACTACTATATAGGAAGAATTAGAGGACCTTAAAAGGGCTGGTTGGCACAGAATTCAATTTCATCATCCATCTTTAGTATCTTCATAGTACACATTCTCGCTAATTTACTCATGCCACATCTACCACAACTAAATGATCGTATCTCAGGCATATTACACATCGATATCCACCTCACAGACAGAATATCATATCCATCCAAGCCCCCTTCTCTCCTCGTCTTAGCCTCGAATCTCCTGCTCCAGAGCAGCAAACCCAAGCAGACGACCGAAAGAAAGAAACTCGGACAGAAAGACAGGTAAGTAGAACAGACGCAACGCAACGACCAGCATCGCGTCAGCATCCCATCCCACTCATCCTCCCATCATCATCATCTACCCTCGCAACCCATCCGTCCTCGGGCCAACATCTCCCCCAGACTTCCCTCCCCTCCTCAACTCCCTCACATCTCATCCCCCTCATTAAACCCCTCGATCTCCATGTCTCCCGTACCTGCCCCATCCCAGCCATCCCCCCTTCTAAAAACCCGCCTATCCTCGTCCGCCACCTCCTCATACCCCTCCCCCCTCATACGCTTCATCGCATCCCCAACAGTCGGGTGCGTCGTCCTGGCGGCCCTCAGAATCCAATACGTGGACTCCAACGCCTCAATCACCCGACTGTACCCTCTGCCACCAATAGATCCCAGCAGGCGACGATACTCACTCCGACACACTGGATCGTGGCAATTGCGGCGGTTTCGACCGTCCCAGTCGGTTTCGCACGCATGGCGGGCACCGGTGATGCGTTCCTGGATGGTCACATTGAATTCCTGCAGGAATTGGTAGCGCAGGGAGGGTTCGATGTGATTCGGGGCGTTCGAGAGACGCAGTTTGTCCCGAATGAGACGGTATAGGTAGTCTGTTAGGTCGGGGAGTTCGATGGTCACTGTGTATTTGGGGTTGGTTAGTGAGTGTTCTGTGGGAGAAGAGGAGGAAGGTATGGGGAGGTGGGATCTTACTGAACAGACAAGCGGCGAGAACACGACGGAAACGATCTTTTTCTGCGGCATCATCGAACTTCACCACGTACATAACTCTATTTGAGCAACGGATCGCGGTCTTATCACCTGGTAGTCCGGCGGTCACAAAATCAAGCCAGTCCGTGAAAATGAAGTAGTCGCCTTCTCTGAAGTTCATGTTGAAGTGGACTGCTTGGCGATGACGCTCTGGCATGTCATAGTGATGGACGCAGGGGATCATAGGGGGACCGACGCGCACTCGTCGGGGAATTGAGGTCTCGCGACATGGATGCTGGAATACCATCTGGCCGCAGTAGAGCCAGTGGGGTTTGATGTCCTCGAGTAGGTGGTCTCTACTGCAGTAGCGTACTTCGGAGTAGGGCCCGCATCGCGGACAGATCACTGTTGCTCCGTCCCAGAGGTTGCAGCGTTTTTCGCAGTGGGCTTTGGCACAGGGGAAGCCGTGGCTGTCGAGCTGCCAGAAGAAGCCTTCGGGTTTCTGGGCGGAAAGGGTGCCCTGGGCGTTGGTTATGGCCTCGTTGGGGGTGGAGAGGGAGTGGGAATGGGTGCTGCTTGGGGGTGTGGGTGGGAGGGGGTGGGCGTGGTGAAGACTGGTGGCGTGGCGATGACTGGCTGCCTTGGATGAGGAGGGTTCAGAAGATGGCTCGGTTGTCTGGGGGCTGGTTTGCACCGTTGTGTTGCTCCAGCCAGTGGATGCTGTGGACACGGGGGTTGAGGTTGAATTGTCGATTGAATTGGAGCCTGCGCTTTCTGGGTCCGTTTGATGGAGTGATTTGTGGGAGTTCAGGTTACCAGGTGTAGCGGCTTTGCTGGCGAGTTCTGGAATAGGAGACAGTATTGTCTGGCTTGAGCGTGCTTCACAATTGCTATCCTGTCCGGGGGACGACTCGTCTGACACTTTAGAGAATGCTGCCATGTTTGCCTGGAGTGAGTCAGATGGATTATTGAGAAGAGCACGTTTTCCAGAAAGAACCGTGGCATATGAAGGAGTGATCACAGTTCTTCTCGCCCTGTCCACTGGTTGGGGACCACGCTGAGTATTTATGCCCTCCAAGGTATCGTTGCCTGTGACTGCGTTCACTCGCTGGATCCGCTGCTTGCCTTTGATGTCCAATTTGCTCAGTGACTCAATCAGAGTTCGCTTCTTGTCACTGTCCACTGTGCATCCCTGAGACACCTGGTTGTCTGGCGTGGGTTTCTCTTTACTTGCAGCAACGCTAGAGTACAAGCCTTTGGCTGACATACGAGCAAAGTGTGGCAGGTCCTCTATACCTTTTGCATGAGACGAAGGCTCACTCAAAGTATTCGATTTCGCGATAGGCTTACTGTTCAATTCAGAGCCCTGGCTCCCAGACGTCTCGCTTCCGGAATCACCTAGCAAGAGTTTCTTCTTCTTGTTGTACTTTTCCTTCTTTTTCTTATTCCTTCTGGCCTTTGCATCCCCGGGAGGTTCCATCACCACAATCCGGGGTATTGAAACAGCACGTTGGCTGTCGCCAGCAAGACCTTCCTGGGGACCTTTTGGGGTAGATGAGCGACTGATAGTCCGCGCACGTATGAGGTTTATGGCGCCAGATCGCGTGTTGCTATCTTCGTTCTCAACCTTCGCCTCTTCTTCTTCTTCTCCTGCTTCATGAGGACTCGTCAGTATATCTTTCTGCATTGTGTATGTGGGAATGGAAAAGGATAGATGCGTTCAGGCTTTGCTCACCTGAACGGATACTATCCAAGTTTTGTGGGTGCATGTTTGTGTTCATCGTGGTGTTGGGGATGTATCTGTATCTGTTGTTCCCGTGACCAGAATTAGCGAGATGAAGTGAATACGCTCACTTCCCGACTGCTCTGTTGGGGCTGTTTGCTCTTTCAAGCTGCAGAGGCGGTCTGCGTTGTGCAATTTCATTCAATGACAGTTCCTTCAAGTGATGGTGATTACTAGAGAGCGATTTTACAGCATCAGTTTACTTCTTTCACTGGAGGTTCTGACTGGCAGGCCTGGCATATTGCATGCAGAGCACTTTGCTGCCAGACTTACATCCCCTTGCTGAGAATAAGGTGAGATTGTGAAGGAGGATGTAAGATGAGCAGACTGGGGAGATCGTTGTGAGTGTGCCCAGACTCTGTCTGCCAGGCTACTCTACATGACCATGGTGCGTGTCTTGACAATGAATACTGACGCCTTTTATGTAACTACATAACTGATAGGGAAAAGCAACTACAGAGTCCTATCCCATAAAGCATCTGAGGTGAATCTGCTTGCTCCGGACTTGAATAAATGGTTATAAGAATCGCTGTCTTTCCAGCTGGAGACTTGCGGTAGATGCCCAGTCTGGCCTGCAATATACCACTGCCTCAAAAGAACATACCATCACTAAACGGGAACTACCGGAATACTCAATACACTTGTCTATGTTTATGCGCACTATATTGGTCTCATCACCTCGGACATCGGAAATAGCATCTGGGGAGACGCACAGTCCAAAAGGGTAGGAACATTGTGGATTGGGCAGAAGTCACTCTGTCTAGCAGGTGAATCTGCTTAACCTCACATGATCAATCTACTCAGAAACAATACTGCCTAGAGCAAGCTTTCTTGTAGTGACTCGTCTCATTGCAGGAGCAAATAGGAGTGCTAGCAGAGAAGACATGGCGGATACATGAGACACTCCTGATTCAGATGCGCCAGTGCGTGTTCATTTCTTCATTACTGTCACGTACACCAGATTCCCAGGAGTGTAGATCCAGCAGTGTCATTCAATGTCAAGATGTTTAAACGGCTGAGAAACCCGGTTGCCTTCATTTAATTTGCTTTAGGCGTTGGACATCACGTGCCCGTCCATTTCATTCAGTATCCAAACGCCCAACTCAACTGCGAACGCCTCTTCAACCGCCCTTCTTCTGTTCGTCATCAGAAGATATATTTAGAATCTCAGTTTGAGTCAAACAGCAATGCCTAACTTTTTCGCAGATTTTCTCAGAAACTGCAGCTCTGAACCAGTCAAGCGTTCAATAACACACGGATCTTCCCCTTCCTAGTAACAACATGCAACGGGAAGCGCCGCCAACCCCTAGGCCATCAAGCAAAAATGCCATGAGATCAGGCTTCAATGTATGAAACTGACTAACCGCCTCTCCTGGTGATTTTCGCAATGTTGTGGGGTCTAGCTGTCCTGGATCGCGGATTGGACTACAACGCCGTATCTTAAGCGCCGACACGGTACCTATATTTGGCTGGCCTGCAGAACTCTGAAGAAACTCACCGGCATAGGCTCTACCTACAGACACTGCGCTAAATGAAACTTATCGTGCAGATCGACCCGATCAGCTGCAGCCTTTGATCTTGTTACTTGCTACCCTTGTTGGCGCTGGTCGCTCTTATTGGCTGCCGTTGGCCGTGTCTTCAACCTGTCTTTGTCTCAGCTATTATTGACCTGGTCACAATGGAAGTTGGTCTGTTACCTCTGTCGCCCATAATAAGGTGGGTATACCCTCCTTATTGTGACATTGCTATAGATTCGACTTCTTTCATCTATTGTTCTCGGGTGTTACTCTTTTGGTTTCCTCTCGCCTCGCCATACAACTCTTTAATCTTTACATTTTTGGTCATGCAGTACAGCTTTTTGACAATTGCCTTCTGCTCATTCGAATAGTTACTGCTGGTCAGGATTATTCTTTCTTTGGCATCTGCTCTGCCATCTTTCTCTACCTTTCGTGATAGACTTCTTTCTCATTCTTCCACCAAATCACCCCCTGCCCATATAGTATATTTTCGACATGTTGTTTTCAAAATCTGGTCGGACCATCTTTCCATTGCTACCACCCTATGGGGTTCAAGATCCCAACGGCGTTCAAGGTCGAGTCATTCCTGTACACCCTGATGGCTCGACACCCTACCTAGGTCTGCGGGCGCGCCTTTCCCAAGTATGGCTTAACCGCTGGACTGTTTTGCTGCTACTGGTCCTGGCCCGAGTGCTGATGGCAGCTTCGAGCATAAAAACGGACATGAATCGAGCCAAAAGCGAGGCCCTATCCGCATGCACAAGCGT